TGTGAATTTAGGCACCACTTACTTTTAGATAATATTTTTGATGCATACCAGAATATTGAAATTTGTAACATATTTGATAACCATTGTAAAACATATTTAATAAAAGCAATGACTGAAAGAACTGAACTAATGAAAAAAATTACCACCAATATTTAATTTTTATGTTATTTACTGTACTTATAAACTTATATTTTGTGTCATTTTTATTTATTTATTTACTTTATATTCTGTAATTGAATTCTATTTTTTTTTTTTTTAATTTTTTTTTAAATTTTATTTTACTTTTTTTTTTCGTTATTCCTTAATTACTACAGAATAATGAGAGTATTTGTTTTGTTTGTCCAGTATTTTTTCTTTACTCATTTATCTTTTCAATAATTCATTTTTATATATTGTCAGTTGTTGTTTTGTAACTGTTGTACGGGTCGAACCTCTCCTGCGGGAGAGTGTTCCTCTGTTATAAAAGAGAGAACCAATAAATCTTATCTTATCTTATCTTACATATCAATAGGGCCTACTGTGTGGAGCCATAGTGGAGCTAAGCAATAATTAGCCCTTCTTAGCAGATTAACTAGATAAACAGTTTGGCTTTGACTGAATCAGTTTGTTTGTTAAGTGTAGGTTTCAGTTCTTCGATCCAAAGCATTTCTTTGATTTAAGCAATCAAACTTGGATTTGCACTTAGATAAAACCTTGAAATAATTAACAGTTTCAGTAGCATTCTTTACATTGTCACTGCAAATTTTTGATTTAAAAATTTGAAAACAAAAGATACTACCGTACTCGCATGAATAAGTGCCCCATTTGAATAATGCCCCTCCTTACGTGAAAATTTCCTTAAGTGCCCCGTTTCAATAAGCACCCCCTCAATAATATCATGAGATTTTCTTTTTAGCAAGTAAATAATCCAATCAATCTAAGGACTGTGGTTGTTGGCATGATCTGAGCTGCAGAGTGCAATCACTTTCTTCTTATCAAAATGAGGATATTTCTCTTGGACAGATGAGAGCTCCGATCCCTGGACAGACAGTATATTACCAACTTTCCTCTTCTTACATTTGTCTAGGCCTAGTCCTACTCCTCTTTTTCTTTTTATGATAATTTGCACCTTTAGCACATTCTCATCTGAGTTTTCAAAAAAACCTGCAATGATCCTGCATCCTGCCAATCCCAATCGGCCGATGGCCAACAAGATAACAACTATCCTCCACCACTAATTGCGTCTGCTCTTCTGCTGTTATGTAAATATTCACGGCATTCTTGTCATGAGAAATGCTCTCTGGACGACTATCTTTTCCGCCACACCACCATTGGTAATTTTCGGTTTCCCGATGTCCTTATATTATTTTTTTTCTTTCAAAAAGTGCCTCTTGAATTTAATAAGTTCCACTAAGAATCCCTCGATTTTCATCTATTTCCATAAGCACCCCCTCAATTTCCACTCAGTTTTCATAAGCACCCTGTTTAAATAAGCGCCCCTTCAAAAATGCAAAAAAATATTTTAAGTGCCCAGGCACTTATTCGCGCGAGTACATTAATTTTGAGGATGTTAAGGTGTTTAATATTTTAAGCGCCCAGGCACTTATTCGCGCGAGTACATTAATTTTGAGAATGTTAATTTGTTTAAAGATGGGTTTAGGTGGTGCACGGTAATGAGAAAATGTAATAACATGGGCGGTGCGTTGAACTAATTTATTTAACTTGTCTAAATTGGGTGGATATTCAGCAGTCAAAATTATGTTGCAGTAAAGAAGATAAGGTTGTATATGAGTATTGTATAACTAACATAAGAATTTTTGATGGTAATATTAACAATTCATTGAAATATTTAAAAATCTCTTATTCTTGAAAATTAAATTGCAGGTTCGCCAGCGTGGGTTTTTTTATTCCACTTTTGTGAGTTGTGTCACCTTGTCTCACCCAACCCTCAAATTTCCTGTTTTTTGGCAAATGTTTGAATGGCAATATATACCGAAATGACCAAACAAGTTCCAGTTTCAAGTTTCTTTTATTAATAATTATCATATTCGTAGCCAAGGCTGAATTATGAGGTGTTTACATAAATATTTTTTAAACTGTTTAGAGAAGATTAAAACTTATAACAAAGCCTTATTGAATAAAATATCGTACGTAATAATATTATGTACGATATTTTATTCAATAAATATCGTACATAATAATATTAATTGGTTAAAATATGAAAATATCACTGTTAGCAATTAGTAACATTATTTACAGTTGTACTAATAAACTAAAACAACCATAAATAGTGACTGCTATTTACTGGCTTCAATAAAATATAATTCAGTCATTTTTTGTTAAATTGGCAGTTTGATTTGTGATTTATAAGGACATGATAAACTTTTTCAACTCTATTTTTATTTTTTCATCTATATAAATGCATTTTAATATTCTTCGTTGTTGACATTTTCAAATCTTTTTTTAAATTAAAATAAGCTGAGAGAGCACTAGACACCATGAACTTTGATGCCATCAAAGGGCGCCCTATTCGTATTATGTGGTCTCAGCGTGATCCAACTTTACGTCGTACTGGCATGGGTAACGTCTTCTTTAAAAACTTGGACAAATCAATTGATAACAAAGCTCTCTATGATACATTTTCGGCTTTTGGTAACATCTTGTCTTGTAAGGTAGGTACATATAGAATTCAGTGTAGTCTTGTGAAAAAGTATTGTCACTTATTAAAAAAATGTGATTGTCAGAAAACATTTCTTCAGGTCCCTTACAACACCTTTATGAATGGAAATTTAAATAAAATTTTCACAAATTATCTGGGTTTCAGAAATCCATTACATTATATAGGCCTCGATATGCTACTTTGTTGAATCTTTCTGAGTTTATCCAGTGTACAGGGTTGTAGCTGTAGAAAACTAATGGTGGGTGGTAGATATTTTAAAGGCGGGTGGGTGATAACATTGGTAATCTCTATATATTAAGAGTGGATTTAAGGGATGGGAAAGTGGGTTAATAACGGTGGGTGGAGTGCAATGAAATAAGCATTAGAGTGTGTGGAAAACTTAAAGATTGAGTGACTGCCCAACATAATTACATCCCTGAATAACCTTAATTATAGTTTCATTCATATACTGCCTCTTTTTTTTATTCTAATACATGCATTTAGATTCAGTGCGATGAAAACAACGAATCTAAAGGCTATGCCTTCGTTTATTTTGAGACCGAAAATGCTGCCTCTAAGGCCATCAGTAAAGTGAATGGCATGTTGCTCAATGGAAAAAAAGTGTAAGTGATAATTTTCACATCTGTGAAATGAAAATTCTAAAGCGGAAAAGAGAACATAACTAAACAAAATTTGGAATGAGATAATATGCATTCCAATATAAGAAGGGAAAAGACGTGTCATGTGTACTGTACAGTTTTAGAAACACGATTTTAATACCAGTCAACACTATCTCTCAGGTATGTAGGTCATTGGATTCCTCGCAAAGCCCGGGATGCTGACATGGGAGATAAAATGAAGAGCTACACAAATGTTTTTATAAAAAACTTGAGTGAAGATGTATCTGATGACCAGCTAATTGAAATGTTCTCCAAATATGGCAAGATTGTTAGTGCCAAAGTAATGCGGGACGATGGTGCTAAAAGCCGTGGCTTCGGTTTTGTGAGCTTTGAGGACCACGAAGCAGCATCACAGGTGACTTAAAATTTTATATTATGTATCATCCTTCTATTGTAAGTAAAATAAAAGCGCAGTACTTTATTGAAAAAGAAATCACATCTGGTGTCGTGGTTTTTTGAGAAAGAGGAGCTTATTAAACATTTAAAATAGTAGAATGCAGTCAACCTAATAAAAGATTTGCTATTAGCCTCTGAATAATAATTTAAAAAAAAAAAAAAAAAAAATAGGATTCAGAAAATAAAAAGGAATATTTTCTTGTAGTATTTGTTACAAAATTATTGAATACTTACAGTAGATAAGCATTTTTTTGATAGTAGTATGGAGGTGATGATTTCCATTCTGGATTTTCGTTGACCTACAACATAGAAGTTTTTATTTGTATTCATACTGTCTGATCCACTGTTATTGATTAACAATAATGCTTCTCACATTACTTGATCATAATGGGCTCATAAAAAAAGCATTTAAAGTGATAATGCACTATTATCTTTAAAATATTTAGCTCATGCTCATTAGTTAGCAGTATCTGTTACATTAAGGTCATATTTGAACGATAATTTTTATCAAAGAGCAGTATACTAAGTTTAATATCTTGTAATAAAAGAATTATGTACTTAGTCATCATATTTAAAAATTAATTACAGCCTTAATTTTCAATTGAAAGCTAATATCATACACAAAATATCACTGAAGAAACCAAGTATTGAATTTTCCCCAAGTTTATTTTCTTTGTGCAAATAACAATAATTAAATGAAAAATTCTGTCTTACAGGCCACTCAGCAGCTGAACAATGTTGATGTGGACGGTCGTACTTTGTATGTTGGGCGTGCACAGAAGAAAGCAGAACGTCAAGCTGAGCTTAAACAGAAATATGAACGACTGAAAGCAGAGAGAATCAATCGCTTCCAGGGTGTTAACCTTTACCTAAAGAACCTTGATGATGAAATTGATGACAAGCGGTTGCAGAAAGAATTTGAAAAGTTTGGTACTATTACAAGTGCAAAGGTATATAAAAAATGTCAGTAATGGTAATATTTACTTCAAAGATATTGTTGTAAACGCTGAAAATTGGTACATTTGAAAAAAGTACCAATTTACCAGATTATATACAATAAACTATACTAAATCACTTAATTGGTAAAAGTGGAAGCATGCAATGCTAAGGGTTTTGTGAAGCAGACAAGTTGAGCCGAGTGGTTAAAGCTGGTTCGCCCAATCCTGTAAACTGTAGGCGCAGTGTACGCAATTGGCTCATTGTGCGCTACAAAGAACCCAGTACATCTTTCGAGGCGAGTAGGGGTTGCCTCGGTATACTGGTCCATTCAGCCCCTGTTATGGAGAGAAGAGAGTAGCTGGTCCCAGTTTACCGGCCAGCTCAGACACGATGTTAGCAGCACTACATCAATTTTCTACGTCTCCTGCATCTGTACTAGATATAATCCACCAAGCCTAGATTAGTTAATCCTACCTTTTATTTTTAATTTTAAACATATTTTTGGAGCATATTGTTATGTGGATCATTGTAAAAGTTGCCAGGTTCAACATCATTTGTGCATGACTATTTAACACTGAGTTTGAAATTACTTCATAGTTTCATTATATTATAGGCATGTTTACTTCATGTGTGAAATAAATTTAAATGACTATTTTTTATTGAATTTTTAAAATGCTTTATTTACCTCAGGTTATAAGTGATGAAAAGGGAATCTCAAGAGGATTTGGGTTTGTGTGCTTTTCTTCCCCTGAAGAAGCAATTAAGGCTGTTACTGAGATGAATGGAAGAATCATTGCTACTAAACCTCTCTATGTAGCACTAGCACAGCGGAAAGAAGATCGTAAGGCACAGCTGGCTGCCCAACACATGCAACGTATTGCAGGGATTAGAGTTCCCGTAAGATTTTATAAATTTTTCATTTTGCTCTATTATTGGTATTCAGTAACATCTCCCAATTACGTACCCCTCCGTCCGAACAGAGTTCATAATTGAGAAAATTCATAATTCAGAGAGTTTGAATTTTCATAGCATCTCAGTGTGGTGAGGGTAGGCCTAGGATGCTACAAAGTACAGGGCTAGGTGGGCCTAAGCTTTGCCATGGGAGCAAAATTTTGTCACGAAAAATGACATGGATTTAGTGTTTTCTGCAACAAAATAATACTTTACATTAGCAAAAATTACCTGTGCTCACTGTGAAGTATTCTTTTGAAGTGTTTTTCGAATGAAAACATGACCAAATAATGGCTAAAATGAGTGTTATTTTTTTCTTCTGAAAAATTGAGAATCCATGCGAATAGCGCCGCAATGAACAAAAACTGAGATATACTGTACAGTATGCGTGAACATGTATGCACAGCTCAAGTGTAATATATCTTGGCTAAAAATGATTAATTTGTCTTGCTCTAAACTTAGTTTTATGTCGCTTTATTGGGTTAAATATTTTCCTTCTTAGTTGATATATTTTACATTATTTTTGAAAACTTAAATACAACTTGAAATGTTTTTGTAGTCAAAAGCGATGTTTCGTAAACGTCATCGTCACAAATTGTGTTCGTAAAATCAACAGTTCGTAATTGGGAGATGTTACTGTAGTTAAATATTTATGTACAAATGGTGGTGTCTTCACCACAACTGTGTACACGCAGGTACCCCAGCAATCCAAAGAAGTTAATATATTACATATAATTTATGGCATGGTACTAAAAATTAGATTGGCAATTATCTTTTTGTGGATCAAACCCATTTTGTACAAATAAAACATACAAAAATGAACCGATTTCTTTTATAATAGGGGAATGCACAACAGGTAAACCAGGTGTTTAGCCCAGGGTTTGGGTACTTTACTCAAGCCGTTCAGCCCCCACAAGCACGATTATACCCAGCAGGGCAGATGACCCAAATCAGAAACCAAAGGTGGACTGGTGCTAACCAGCCAAGACCAGGTTTGTCATGTTTCATATTCTAATTTGCTTAATTTTAATAATATATTTTCTTCAGCCTTTTGCTACTTACTGTAAATAGGGCCATTTCCAGGTAATTTATCACTGTTACGTTTTTTTTCTAAGTTTAAGTATTGCTGTTGCCAATAATAAAAAGTAAATGGAAAAAATTGATTCTGGCATCCTCTATAATAATCTTGCAACCATATACACATCTGTTTAGTTGTAAAATTATATATTTTAGGTAATTCATAGCAAATTTTTTATAATGAAATGGTTGAGAGTTGGGGTTGAATAGTCAGGTTTCGAGAAAACAGTTTCCAAAGATTATAAAATCAAAAGCTTATTAAGACTTTTTTTTTTTTTTTTTTTTTTAAATAATTTTAATATACTTTTCAGTTAGATTTAGTGATTAATATTTTCTTCAATATATCACCTTTTAGAAAATGCAAAAACATGAAAATTTTCAAAAATTCTGATTCTTGAACGTTTTGGATGCTTGTAATTTAGAATTGCAAAAAATGGTGGGTTTTGCCAGATCCAGTCACAAATGTCAATACAGCCCTGTACTAATCGTGAATTTTCTCTTCCAATAGGAGTGATCCCTCAGTCTGCTATCCGTGTTCCTGCCGCTCAAGGAATTCCAACTGTACCAGCTGAACAACGCCAAGTGAAGTATGCTAATGCTGTGTGCAATCAGACTGTTGCTAGTCAGTCTACTGGAATTCCTGTGGTAAGTTGTACAAACTATAAAGACTTTACACGCAATTATAAATGATTAATGAATCTTTCTTTTCATGTGACAGGATTTTTCGCTGAATGCCAACACCGACAGATAATTGGCCGAATTTGCTTTTGCCGACACAATATTTTGCTCACAGGTTTTTTGGCCATTTTGCCGACAGCCAGTTCGCCGACAGACTATTTGACAACTGACGACAGACAATTCGCCAACATCCAGTTCACCGACAGATCATTTTTTTAATTGTAAAGATGGCAGTTTTTGACTGAATTTTCGAAACCAGTACATTTATTTAGTACCTAGGTTTTCTATTTTCTATATGATTTGAGGCTTTGAAATAAGCGTAACTATTAATATAGATTATATTTAAAATTTTAAAGTTCCAGTATACTTTGAAAAATGTTACGGTCAGTAGGATACTATTTAGGTTATGTTAGTGAGGTAAAAAAAAATGTTGTTTGTATATAATGATGATATGCGATTGTTTGATCATCAGGATGCTCCACAACCAGCTGTCCCAGTTCCTTTGCAGGAGCCACTGGCCCCATCCAGCCTGGCACAGGCCACCCCCCAGGAGCAGAAGCAGTTGTTGAGCGAGCGTTTATACCATATTATTAAGCGTAGCCATGGTGACCTAGCTAGTAAGATCACTGGAATGTTGTTGGAGATTGACAACGCTGAGTTGCTTCACATGTTGGAATCCCCAGACTCATTGAGTGCAAAGGTAATCGTGTAATTTTGTTCTTTTGCCTCTCTCTAAAAAACTGAAGCTCTAGAGAGGCTTGTATTTTATTTTGTTGTGTTGATCTTTGTATTGTCGTGGTGTTGTGTAAATTTATTGTTATCGACAACTGATATTGGAAATGCTGTATATTGTTAAATTACTCTGGTTTGTAACTAGGATGACAGAGAACTGAGATTTGTTGCTTGCTCATTTGAAGATATTGAAGATTCTGCATCATGATAAATAATAAGATAGTTTTGTGTAAGATTATTAATTATATGTTTGATACATTAATGTAGATTAATAATATACTGGTTTTTATAAACTTTTATTTCAACATCAAGTTCATAAAACAATACAGACATGACATTAAAATATGAGAAAAAAATTCCGTTCTATCGTCGCGTCGTCCAACAAATCAAAAGCTCCCTAGTGGTGAACCATGTATTTTATGAAATTATTTTCACTTGTCTGCAATCTCAAAGTATGAAACTGTAGATTGACTTCCTTTGAAAAACCTGACAACTACTCTCAGCTCCTGCGTTAATCAAGGTAGGTATAATAGTGCAATGGGCCTATAATTATCCTTTGCTTTATTGTCTCCAAATTTGAACTTAATGATAGGCATCAATTCATTGGGCACATGACCATGACTTAGCATGCTCCTAATAACGAAAGACTTAATATAACACATAAATCTGTCACCTGCATTGATCAAAATAATCAGAAGTTAAGTTGTCAAAACCAGCAGATTTACCACATTTTAATTTGTTATGAAATTAAAGATCATATTCGGAGTAATTTGTATCATAATTATTATTATTAGAATTATTCGAAATATCAATAATAAAAGTTTAATCTGTCATATTCCTAACACAATTAAAAGTGAATTGTAGTGATCATACCAGAAATTTCAAATAGCCTATTCACCATTGCCATTCTCAACAACTGATGAGGACAGAGGTCTGGGAATTTACATGCTTGCCTTAGTCCAAAAGGATTCATAATCATCATTTTAAATAGAATAATTCTAGGTCATCAGCTATTAATATAATTCTAAGAATGCTTGACCATCCTAACATTTAATTCACCATGGAAAAAGAAGTGGAAAAATAATTCTTTTCCTGGATGTCTTTGTTTCTAAGAGCCCAATCACACTTGAGAGTTACGTCGACCCATGGCCGGCCCTGGCTTGGCATTTTTTAAGTGTGAACAACAATAAATGTTAAGCCGGCCCTGAGCCGACCTAAATTTAGTCCAACTTTTGAGTCGGCTCAAGACTGAGGATGGGCCACCTTAGACCTCGATATTTAGGAAAAAATCATATACTGGATTACTTACTAACTTTTTCAGTGTTTGTTTGTTAAGTTTACATAATTGGGTGTATTCGTACATTAGTTGATAGGGCTTACAAAGTCAACAATAGTTAAACAAGCTTTCATTTTTACATCAAGGCATCTTTTCTTAAGGATGGCAACTGCCATCCTTAAGAAAAAATTTTTTCCTTATTCATTATTGATAAAATTACTTTTCATTATGTTAATTCAGTTCACTGTCCAAGTAAAAATTTACTGGAAAACGCTGAAGAAAATACATTTATCACTGTTTTACTTCAAGTTATCATATGTTGGCACATTCTCTAAAGTCGTTAGCAAGAATATCTGTGCCTTATTGAATGAATTTTGTAATGATTTAAATTTAAAAATTGTTTTTATTCTCATTTAAAATTAAAAATTTGTTTTCAGTTAAAGATCCCATATCCCTGTAGTTCTCCGCTTGTGTGTCGTATACAAACTTGTATGTGCAGGTTGTTAATGCTTACGTTAGCGAGACAAGCTAGCATTTCTCCACACGCATGTGCAAGCACCTAACAGTGGATGAGAACTCAAATATACAGGTAGAAGCATTTGAAGAGTTCACACCATTGCAAACAACTAGCCAATGAGGACTGCTTTACCATTTTGGACTCTAACTCTTACAACCCAAATTCTGAAAATTAAAGAAGCTTTGCATATTCAGTGGGAGCAGCCCTCACTGAACAAACAGCTTTTTCATGTTATCCTTGTCATTTTAAAGACATTCCATTCTCCACTTTTTGGCATAGATACTGTGATTTTACTTCATCTTTATTCATATTGTGTTTTGTAAAATAGTTACGGTTTATTCCACAAGTTCTTAGGCTTAGACATATTTTTATACCTTGTTTAGCGAACCTGCCGACTGCAAATATTGATGATTTCGAATAAAAATAAAATTTTATTTTTGGCCAATTAGAGCACCCGCTGCCACGAAAAAGTGGAAATTTTAGAAAAAAATTATTGTTTTTTTTTATTACGCCCTCCGCTGCCTTGAAATCTCGAAAGATAAGATATGTATATTTTCTTCCTAATTATATAAATTTCAAGCATTTAATCATCCTATTTTATATTTACCAATCAAATTTTATTTTCTCCTATTTGCTAAATAAGAATACAAAGTTTTATTTTAATTTTTATTCCGCCCTCCTACAATGATCTTTACAAAAATAAGTACATGAAACAAAGAATAAAATAAGTCTCGCCTTTGCTTGTAAAACATAGTATTTTTTCTTTCCCTTATACTGTACTAATGATTGCCTGCGTGCAATGCAATAAATAGTGATGGTAGAATCTGTTGTGTTGTTTTTGAAAATTCTAGTACGAATACTGTGTGTGTATATATTCTAATATTTGTTTGGTCATTGATATAGGCCTACATTTAATTTTATCGTTAATTATTTATATTGATATCATTTGTCTTTATTATAATTCTATGTTGAATTGTTGTCAGATTGTAATTGCTGTTATTTGTAATCCACCGAATTCACTGATTAATCTCAGAGTATAATACATACTCCAAGTATCGAAATGCACTCCATCGTGTCAGGATTCAATATTTCCACATTAATAATGTCATCATCAGGAATGAAAAATTGTCCATATTTGCAAGCTTATATGCACAAGTACCAAAAGTGATTGACCAATCAAAACATTACCCCTAGTAAGTGACAGAGTTATGAATAAAACTAAAGATCAAAGCATTCTTACCCTACTGATCAAAGCTACCTACAAAAACAAAGAAAGCTCTTTTAAAGCTTTTAGCCCATTGTTAAGCAATGGGTATAGCCTACATATAGCAAACGCTTCTTTAAACAATAGTATAGACCAATTTTGCGAACTGTCAATGATGTTAGTATTAGGAAATATTAAACCTAATTTATTACTTGCTTTACAGACTACATTATCATTTTCAAGTATACCTTGTAAACCTAAAACATATTTGAATGGCTCACAATTTTGTATATGATCATTTATAATACTATCAGATCGTGAAGAATGTTCTGTAAGTCTAGTTATTAAGCATCTATCTGTCTTACCAATATAATCACTATTACAACCTGGACATTTAAAATGATAAACAACAGAGCTCCTATATTCCTTAGGGGTTTGATCTTTAGTAGATATAAAATGAGAGACATTTTTATACTGCCATAATGTTATGAATTTTACCTCTTTAACTAAGTGTTTCTTTACTTTGTTCAAGCATCTAGGTAAAATGGATTCACCTGCCTTTCCTAGATAAGGCAATCTAACCCAAATCTTGATCAAGCTATCATTAGTAGGCCTATGTATATATTTAGGTTCATTTAATTTATTGAGTACATGGTTAACAACTTTTAAAGGGTACCCATTCCATGACATAAATTTTCTAATGTTAGAAAGTTCTGCTTGAAGTTTATCGGGAGTACACAGTTTGTGGGCTCTTGAAAATAAACTACGAATCGAATCCAAGAAATCTTATGTTTCCATGGGGCAAAGCTATCATGTAGCATGTAATCATCCAAATAAAGAAATTCATACAAACTGTCAACAATCAACATCGGAAAATTTGATAAATCAAACTTACAATATGTACAAAATTTCCAATGATTAACATACTATTGAAACTTTGTAGTTTGCATTAATAATTGCCAATGGCTTCCAATCCAATGATGTGATGAATCCCTCTATAATATTGCTTTTTATATACTTATTTTTGGGAATGATTCTACTACAGTATGAACAATTATGTACACATTGTAAGTTGCTCTTAAGTCAATACCCGCTGATCCATGTACCCTAGTTGGGTGCTCCGTAATTCCGTCTTTTTCCATGCAACTCACAGTGTCCATAATGTAACTTGAAAAAAGTCAAAGGATTTTGACTTTTGATTTGAAAATGGCTACAAATAAAATGCACAACATTTGAACAAAAGTCAACAAATAATTAAAAGAAAAAGACAATATGCAATAAAAGCTGTCACCAGTACCAATGAACACATGCCATCATTTATTGCAGATCTCTAACAACCATGTATGTAGCTCTCCAATATAAAATTCAAGATTCAAGATCTTTATTTGTGTCCTTTCGGAAAATCAGTTGGTACATCACATCGCAAAACAAAATTTAGTAGTCAGTATAATAAATTAGGCCATAAAACTTATTTGATATTTTGATTAAGCATTCTAATGGAAAGTGGTACGAATGAATTAAGATATCTATTTGTTCTACAGACTTGTGATTTCAACCTTTTACCTGAGGGTAGCCAAGTAAAAGATGCATTTAGTGGGTGGGGACTATCTATTAAAATGCTCTTTACTTTATCAATAATTTTAATCTCACAGATATAATCTAGTTGTCTAATTATTGTTAATATTGATATTATTATTCTTATAGATCTAAAATTTCTTTAAGTTAGACCAAAATAATAGGGGAAAATATCTGTCTAACTTAAAAGATGTATCTATATTACATGACCAGATGAAATTCTTTGATCATTTAATATTATTATTTTAAATATTATAATAACAATATTAATTTCAGTTCTTCCTATCTTCTACTCCTTATTTTGATATTGAATACATATAAAGTAGATATTTATTCCACTACCAAATAGTGTATGGCAAGTATGCTTGCTGTTAATATAAATGTGTGAATTATGTTTTTGATTTGTTTTTTGTTTTTGTTTAGGTTGAGGAAGCTGTGATTGTATTGAAGGCACACCAGGCTAAGTAATTGGCTATGGGCCGTACTTTGCGGCCACTTTCTACTAATTGTTTAGCAAGAAAAAAAATTAACCTGAGTTTTTCTTACTATCCTTTATTATAATTTTAAATTCAGACAGTGGAAGTACTCGTACACTAATAATGATTCAGTGTTGTTTGCTTGAACATATTTGCCTTCATTTTATCTACTGTATACATAGAAGCTATGTTTCAAGCCAAAGCAATATTATTAATAAAAAATGATGTATCTAGTGATGCAAATTGCTAAATTGGAAAAAGATGAATAATCAATAAAATATAGATTTAATATCCTTAAAATAGGAAAAGGAGAAAAGATGTTGTAGTAATTCCATTTTCATTTCAATGAATACAATTCATATTTGTGTTAGAAACATGATTTTAATTAAATCCAACATTATCTTGCAGGTACGTACATGATATGACTCGTCACAAAGTTCAAAGGGCTGACACCTGTGTCCCTTCCACACAAGGAATTCCTGCCGTAAGTGTTACAAATGATTTTACCATGAATTGAAAATAATCATTTTCAATTTAATGTTAGAAATTCCAATCATGTACTAATTTTTCATAAATTACAATACATGTTTGCTGTACCTTGAAAAATGTCATGGTCAGTAGGCTACTATGTTGGTTATGTTAGTGAATAAATGAAGTTTGATATAATAATGATGGTATGCTATTTTGACTTTGTTGATTGTTTGATCATCAGGATGTTCCACAACCAGCTGTCCCAGTTCCTTTGCAGGAGCCACTGACTCCATACAGCCTGGCACAGGCCACCCCCCAGCAGCAGAAGCAGATGTTGGGTGAGCGTTTATACCACATTATTCAGCCTAGCCTTGGCGATTCAGCTGGAAAATTCACTGGAATGTTGTTGGAAATTGACAATGCTGAGTTGCTCCACTTGTTGGATTTCTGTGACTCCTTGAATGCAAAGGTAATTGTGTGATTCATTTTTGTCTTTTATCCTCCCTAAATTGAAGCTTCAGAGTGGGTCAGTATTTTATTTTGTTGCGTGAGATTGTTATCGATAACTGATGCTGGATAAGTAATAATAATAATAATAATAAGTTTGATTATATTCTTAAATTAATAGTTTGTATCTTGGAAGATGACAATACAAAGAACCTGTGTGATTATGTTGATTGCTCATTTTGATAATTGATACATAAGATTCTGCACCATATTGAAATTCTGTAATCAGATAATGGAGTGGTGAGGAGGCCATGTGTAAGAGAGGCATATTCCAGTTTGCTACAGTGCTTTTGGGAAAAAAGGGTTTTTTTCTTTAGTCTAAAGGGCAAAAGAAAGCCCAACATATTGTAGCATCAATTATAAAAATATATATACACACTAACTGCAATTAGGGTCTATAGAAATATTTAAAAGCATGACATTTTTTTTTAGAGATTTTTAAGTTCGTTTGTTTATTATTTATTATCAAAACAAAAAAACAAGTACATAAATACACACAAAAATGAGAGCAAGTGGATAACCCTATAAGCCCTATGAGCTTGTTTCCTATAAGCTCTATGAGCTTGTTTCCATAGGGGTCCTCGACCAGTAAAAAGAGAAGCAAATATATATAAAAAAAATTGTTTTATTAAATGTTTTTTAAGTAAATATTTAAATATTTATTTATTACATTTCATCACTGCAAAAATACAAGAACAATTCAAAAACAAGACAAAAAGCAGCGAAAAGGAGGGGATGAATAGGTGTCAAGCACCTCTATCTACATCCCCCCTTGAACAGATTACAGAACCACACAAAATATACAAGAGAACAGGCGAAAATACAGAACATTAAAATAGTAAAGTAGTAAATATACAAATTTAAACATACAGTACAAAATATAGCTTAAATTATTAATTATCATTAATTTTGTATTACTTGTATTATGGTTGGGTTTTCTGATGTGTTCATATCGATCCAAATACAGATGATACTTGGTACAGTATACTGTAGGGATTTTTTTTATGTTTGTGGTTAAATTATTTATATTTATTTTGAGATTCTTGAAGGTACGATTGTGTTGGTGGCTCACCAAGCTAAGAATCCACTAAAGCAGAAGCAGATGCAGATGTTGGGTGAGAGTTTATACCACATTATTGAGCCTAGCTACAGTGAGCTAGCTGGTAATATCACTGGGATGTTGTTGGAGCTTGACAATTCTGAGTTGCTTGACATGTTAGAATCCTGTGACACATTAAATGCAAAGGTGATTTTGTGATTTAGGTTTTTTTTTTTACTCCCTTTTCACCATATAATTATTAAGTCATAGAAGCACCTGATGAATGAATCATAACATTTTAGGGGTTTACAACACCTAGTTTGGTTATCCGTCTTTTTAAAATACAAATAAAATTTAGATTATATTCAAGTTCAAGTTTATTCACCATTAAGTAAATCAATCAAGGTACATTTTTATAAAATGAATAAATGCAAACGGCAGGGAATGACCAATAAAAGCAAAGCTTGATGAGATGGCCACCTTAAGTGAGGTGCCCAGGCAAAAAAAAAAATTATGAAAGTGCACTCACAATAGAGAAAAATCAGCCAGTGACATAGACTCAGACAATATTATATATTTTAGTAATTAAATGATAAGTTTTTTTTTTCTTGTAAGGTTGAGGAGGCTAGGATTGTGTGGAAGGTTTACCAAACTAAGAAATATGGTGGTAATTCTTCTGTGGTTGCTGTTGCATGTTAAACATCACGGCGCCGCGAGCAGCTCTACCAAGAGATGGATATGTGCGCCTAATAAGATGACATTATTATTATTATTATTTGACAGTTATTTGACAATTTTATAATATAAACACACCTACTATCTTGAAGGAATTTTCACAGGATATATGATCGTAACAATCTCAATACCAGTGAAAGGATGTTTAATTTTTTTGTCTATAAGCTACTGAGGGGGAATTTTTTTTTTTTTTTTTTTTTTTTGGGGGTGTTGGTTTTTTGGGTGTGTGGGTGTGGGGGGGGGGATTGAAATCAAAATTCATGTCAAGCATTTGAAAACAGAAGAAGCTCAATGAATATTCACATATTGTATGACTGCTGTAATGAATCTAGTATATTTTACTCTATATATTTTGATTCTACTGTTCGGAATCTTGATATTGACTTTGATGAGCACTTAACTTTCAACAAACATATTTACTCTGTATGCAAGACTGCCAATTTTCACATCCGCAACATCTGCCGAATCCGTAAATACCTTGATCCAAAGTGTTCCGAGATACTTACTCATGCCTTCATATCTTTCAGGGGTGATTATTGCATTTCACTTTTGTTTAATCTTCCTGCTTCTTCTATCAAACGCCTTTAAATGATTAAAAATCATGTTGCCCGTCTTTAACTCCAAAATATTCCCATATTACCCATGTACTTCAAAATCTTCACTGGCTTCCCATCAAACAGCACAATATCTTTATAATACTGCTACATACATTTAAAGCACTTGTTTTGAGTGTACCTTTTTACCTTACTTATCATCTCACTCCCTGCTTGCCCACTCGTCACCTTCAAAATCTTCTCACTATTCTCACACAACAACGTATGCCCAATGAACATTTACATCTGCGGTCTTGTATCATTGCAATGATCCACCTTCTTCCATTAGGTATGATACATCTATTACTACATTTAAATCTGACCTTAAAACATCTCTTTAACAGCTTGGCTTCTTAACATACACTGCGCCTTTCATTATTATTCTTGGAATCATCGCTTTACAAGTTTTTTATTATTATTATATTATTAATTCATTTTATCTTATATTTTCCTTTGCAATGCTTATCAACAGCTGATTTCAGTAACCTTAAAAATGACTCAGAAAAGATAGCTGGAAAACAGGAGAAGGCTTACCCACAAGGAATTTTAATGTAAGGGTTTGTTGAGAATAATAAGGGATGAATTGTGCTGATACATTCCAGTAGTAAAGAACAGAAACTCATTAGCAAGTAATAAATTAAAAGTCACTGCTATTTCATTAACTAATTAAATAATTTACTATATTTTTATTTTCCCATTAAAAAAACAGCTTGCAGTATTAAAATGGGTGTCTTCAAAATCCCATATAAATTGTTAGTTTTAGCCATGTGGTTTGCCAAAGTATCCTCGGTGTCAGCTGAGAACATCTGTAGAGTGCAATGTTAGCACTCCTATTTATCTTTTGCTGAATAAAGTAGAATTAGAAGTACAAAGTCTACTGACTTTGAAATTGGTGTCTTGGCCTTCGACACGTTACTTGATGGAGCTAGCTATCCAAAAGGAAGTCTTCGACAAGAATTGGAAGCAGTAACGTTTTGTTGTTGTTGTTGTTGTTGTTGTTGTTGTTGTTTTAGTTGTTCATTTTGATTATTTTTGTTTGTGCTGGGACATGCTCTGATATATCTCCATACAGTAATTTTATAGTGGGGGAAGATGGGTTTATGCTGTAAAGCTAGGACATAATTAATAGTGAAGAAACTATTAAAAGAAGGTACATGGCTAAGGAGTACTCCCAAATCATGAAGTAGATTATCAGTAAACATTGGCAGCTTGAAGGACAGAACAACATTTTTTAAATTTATTTTTTTATTTATTCAGGTATAAACATATAAAAAACAATTACAAAGTGGCAGCCGAAGTTGAAATGGTTTGCTTCACAAAACCTATTCACAAAAAATTATTTACAAATGCAAAACAGCAAAATACAAAAGCTAAAAAATATTATTAATACAATTCAAAGGTCAAATATCAATTATAAAAAATACAAAAGAAGGTCACTTTATTATCCATTATCATTAAATTTTAGTTGCTAAAGTTTAAATTATATTTATACAGTAAAATATTGCACATTTCCTGTTATCAATATTCTTATATATTATCAATTTCATCAATTTATTTAACAGATCGAAATATTGCAATTTTGATTAAATAATTATTATTTTACCAATTTATTTTAGAATTTAGAAATTAAAAATTACAAAATATAAGTGGTGGACATGGTGATGTAATGAATGTGAAAACCGATTAATGCGCCAACAATTGACTGTTGTATCTACAGTATATTGAACAGCCAGTAGTACCAACAATTGGTGGCGTGTCTATGGGGTGTGCGGGAATATCACTCCCCCGCCCCACCCCAATAAAAATTACTCGCTTCCCCCAGTCGTGCTCCTCCAGTTTACCCCCCAAAAAATCAGTCAAGTACTTAAAAATCACCTTATTTTCCCAATTACTGCCCTTCAACTAATCATCGAGGGGCCCCCACTTCACCTTCGCCCCCCCCCCCCCCCCCCCCCCCCCCCCCCCCTACACCCTCCCACATCACAACCCCTTTTTAAAGACTTCTAGATGCGCCACTGCAAACAATGACAAAATTTCATTTCATTGGATCTGAAATACAAAGTGGAATTATAAACTTGAAATATGTTGCAACACATGGCAAAATAGCTGATGTGTTCACTAAACCAGTGGCCAAAATTAAGTTACAAAAATTTAAAACAATTATGATGGGAAACTAAGTTATTAGCTCTTTTTGACTTCAGTTATTCTATTTAAATAATAAATAAGTTACTGATTTTCTATGTTATATTTTAAGATATAATCTCAAATTTGAAATAAGGGGGACACCAAACTTATAATTCTTTTTTGCTGCATGCCGTGGTGGAGAGACTTCCCTACCCCGTTGTGGAGCTCAACACCGTTCATCGGGGAGAAACAATGGTCAGAGTTAATGAGACTTTAGTCAATTAATCTCTTCAAATCGCTGACGTTTGCTTCTGGGTTGATTTCTCACCACACCCACTTATTCTGTGGGAAGAAATCGTATTGCATACAGTATCTCGTTAGGTAAATACTGGCCCATCACTGTATTCTTCTAGAAAGGGTATGGGTGTTTAATCGGAATGTTTTAGTAGGAAAATATGTGGTCATCTGGCAGTTTGTGCTCTCCATCCTTAACCGGGTTTGTGTGTTTTTAGTGTATGGAAGAAAATTAGCTAAGGCAAACCTGAGAATTGTCGATAGGCTATTCCGTTTCGTATATTTGCTCTACTCTGTATATAAACCATAGTTCAGGTTAGTGGCTATCATAGTTACCAACCTGAGAAATTGAAATGTGTGACTACACACCAGTTTGGCTTGGTGGACCCAACATGGCACCCGGTATGGGCCCGGGCTTCATTCGCATAATAAACGGATGGTTGTGACAATGAGCACGCAAGATCGCATGTGCCTCGTCCTAGATTCTACCAAGTGCGTTGTTGGCTGGGTTGGGAAAGAGAATTTTTCTCAGTGAATTGATTATCGAATGAGATAATGAAAACCTTCTAATGACTACAGTTACCGTACTGTATGAATGATTTTTTTTTAAATAAAACTAATTTCTTCTAATTTTAATACATTTTCCCCTGAATTCGTGATAATTCGTTATCACGCATATAGACTTGTGCTAAATGCGTGACAAATTTATGATCACGCATGTGTTTCTGCAAAATGCGTGTTTCATCAGAAATCACTTTAAAATGCGGGACAGTTGGCAGGGACGTATCCAGGGGGGAGCCGTGGGAGCCGCGGCTCCCCCCCCCCTTTTGTACACAGTGTTAAAATTTTAAAGCTTATTCTTGTGCCAATACAAATTCTTTCCTGGGATCACTTAAAATGAATACTTCTAAACATGTAAATATGCATCAGTACACGTTATACATAGGCCTAATAAAACACATAAAGCCTAAGCGTGATTTAAAAAAAATCTTAAATCCATAAATCTCAGGCCAGTTATTTTAAGATAGAAATGCGATACTGTGGTTCAATTTCGTTTTTATCCTTTTGTAAGTTTCTTTAAATGTTTGTTTAATAATACTACTACTAATAGTAATAATAATAATAATAATAACAATGATGACGATGACGATAGTAATAATTGATATTAATATTAATAACAATAAAAAGTGAAGAAAATTGTGCTAAATGCGAAAAAAAATTGTGATTTGTTGATCATAATATAGTATATATAGTTAAAGCTTAATAAGCTATAATTAGGCCTAAGTTGTCCTGGATATTAAGTAGATCCCTGATAAAAGGTCATGAGAAATTTGTTGGCGTTTCATTTTGACTATAATGGTAATGTGATGATGATGAATTTGACTATATAAAAGTGTCATTTCCGGCCATTTCGAGAGGTACTATTTCCTCAAATTTTCTCACCTCAGCCCCAGCCAAGGTGGGGCTGAGGTGGTTGTGAAATCACGTTTTTGAAGTAGGCCTATGTAAAGTACATACTCAAAG